TGTTTCTCAGAACAATTAAAGCGGCTCATGGAGTTGGTGGCCACAGGGTGCCAAGACATTGCAGGAATCTGGCTGTCCATCAGACAGCTAGGATGGATTTCAAAGCTGTTTGTATCACAGATGGTTGATCAGTAGAAATGACTTCCTATTTCTCTCGACTGGCACTCTCACTGTGTTCCATCACCATTCCCAGTTGACAGCAAGGTTGTGTTTTATGTTTTCTCTCTCTCTCACTCTCTCTCTCTGTGTGTGTGTGAAGGTATGCATTAGTTTGAGGGCTTAGGCTGGGATGTGCAGCAGGTACTGTAAACATGAACATGTCCATATTGTGTTTGACTTGGATTATGTATGAGCACATGAAATTTTGATGGGATACTTGAACATAAAGCATAGCTACAGTCAGTTTTACACAAAGCACAGAGATAGCATGTTTAAGATGTGCCATTAAAGCTGTGTGTGTTGGAATATTGCAGGAAAAGCAACACTGAAGCATCCCCTTGCTATGTGTGGATTGGATGAGACTGAAACAAACAGATTCTGAGTTTGGCAGTGTACCGGATGGATTTCAGAATAAAGTCCATCTGTTTGCCTCTTTTTTTTACAGTGGAATTTCATACAGGAGCTTGGTTGTACACACCCACCAGCAGGGCAGACAGAGTTAGTGTGATTCCACTTTGTGGGAGTAATTGTATGAATCTCCTTGAATGACACAGCGCTTGAACATAATAGAACATTGCTATGCTCATAATTGTGGGGAATCAAAAATGTTAAGTGGCACATACTGTATAGCAGAAGGGGTTCAATAAATCTTGACAATAATGCTTGATGTGCAGACTTTCTTTTTCAAAATTCTAGTATGTAGTAAGTTAAATTTAAAGCCAGTTAAAGGCATGTTTTGCATCCTGACTAACTGTGGAGCACCATGTCTAATGATCTCTTTATTCCTGCAGTGTGTGTCATTCCTACAGCCACAGTATGTGTGATGTCTCTATAACATTATAACAGACTCACCTGTCTTTCTCTCCCAGGTTTATTCGAGACTTATCAAGACACTCTGGACCATTAGAGACCATGAGGGCTGTACAGTCACCCATTACATTCCTTCACATCAGCTTGCTCTGTTTCAGCCAGCTGCAGCGGGGCCATGCTGTGGACAGTTCCTCAGGTGAGAATGTCTTGTGTGGATGGGAGAAAGATCAAGCTAGAAGCCTATTTGACAATGCTATCTTAATGCAGAAAATCTGCACTTTGTAGGTGCACTTATGCTGCCCTCTTGTGGCTGGAATTCTTAAGGCAGAACGATGGTACACTAACAATATCCATGACTCCTCACTGCCAAATCCTCAGCCAGTGTTAAACACATGCATACATTATTGGAAAGTAGTGAGTCTTTTGGCACACATTATTTTGGTTTGTGCATGTTATAATTTAATTTATGAATAGAGGGCATAATATTTCAGGCTGCATCAAAAATTTAAAACGTAAATAATAATCTTCATTATTCATTTGTGACATTTACTCACTTTCCTGTTGATTGTAAAACTTATGTCAGAAAAAAAGTAAGCAATATTGTACTTTTTTAATTAACATGTTGTTGGTCCTATACAAACAGATACAAGAAAACACAAAGAGAATCATGAGGCCATCACCCAAACACCTGCATCTGAACAAGACAACACCGCTGGATACAGAGGTTTGGACCATTTGATAAATGTGATTTATATAAATCCGGTTGATATGAAGCACTGATGTTTGATATAATACTGTTCATTATGTTGTTGTTACTGCAGCATGTATAGTCAATCAAAAGCGTATCCTTGCACCTTTTGAAGTCAAAGGATATAGTTGCATGTTACAGCAGAATATGTTGTCAAGTCTGTTTTTCTGCCAGAATGTTTTATCCAGTGTATTTCTTCTATTTCTACTGTCTACTTTTGTTTGGGTTTCATCATGTAAAATAAATCTCTAAAATAAGCCTCAGCAAAGCCAGCGGTCAGAAAAGTGGTGCTCCATGTTGTGCTGACTCTGTGTTTGTCCTCGGAAAGCTACAACCTTAAACCCAATTCCCAGGAAGAGAACTGTGTTTCCTCTTGCTGACAAAGACATTAATACCTCTTAAAGCCAGCTCAGCAGCTGTAGTCCTCAAGTGTTGTGTCCAAAGCCAGCACAGTTCAATACCAATCCACAGTTCAGTTCCCTTTGTTTTGACATTTCATGGTATAGGCCCTGACATAGGATGTGCTGGGATAAAACGAAGCTAGACATTTAAGAGGTCTCTCTGTAGCTTTTACAGACAATGGCAAATTGCATCTTATATGCTGAACAGTCTTTCTGACACCTGGATCACACTGGAGTTAAAACAAAGACAAAAATAAGATTCAAATGATTACAATTCTGGCTGTTTTGGCAAGAAATGTCATCATCTAATGCTTCAGATTGTGTTTCTTGATCTACCTAGTTCCTCTTTCAATATAGGAAGCTTTTGTTTCTCCATACATAAAATCCTTGTAACACAGCGGGAAAATAAAATTGACAGTGAGACACTGAGAATTTGAAAGGATGTCCAAGACTTAGCAGCTAATAAGACCATTCGGATGGCAGCCAGTTTGGAGGAGATCAGGAAAAGAAGGAGCATGACTGTCTGTCATTTTCTTTCAACATTTTGTATGACCCCGAGCAATGGTAGTGATGTACACTGAGATGCACTGACAAGCAGGCAAAGATAAAATCAGGCAGAGGCAATTGAAAGACCTAAAGGCCTGTCACAAGTAATAGGAAACTGGGAGAGTGGAGGCTCAGCCTGGAAAATAATGGGGGAAATATTGTAGTGGAAGAAAAAGACAATAGCAGTGATGTGTTACATACAAAACTACCCACTGATATGTCCACATCGTTCACTTGCCTGATATTCTGATGGCAGATCTGGACACATCATTTCAGTGAGGATGATTTTAAACCTGTCACTATTTTTAATGGACAAAACAATGACTAATAGTGGACTAGCTGAGGCCAAGCTTATTGCTCCGTGGAGATTCTAAATTATTTATTCCTTCGTAAATTTTTTTTGGATTTGGCTTTGTGCTTTTTGGAGACGTTTTTTCCTCTGACTTAAAAGCAACTGGAGAGCCAGTTTGGAGAGAAATAAATAAATATAGGTCTCAGTGCTTGGCAGCATGTCCCCGAAATTCTTGCCATTTTACGCCATGTGTTACCATGAAGGTGCATAAGTCTTTGTGTCTATTTTTCACCATCTGTTCCTGGAAATATTGGTGTTGGAGATCCACTGGATTGTGACCAGTTGTGAAATGCAAGACAGAATTCATAGATCCTACAATTAGCTGTGTGCACAGCAACTATTGTTAGGGCCCCATAAGCAAGAGCTCCACTGGTGAACCCCTAGCCTCTTTATGCTTGTCATTTGTGATTGTTTATTTCAGCTATCGTATTCCTATTAATACTATGAAATGCAGTTACTACATGAGCAATACTGTATTGTCCTCCATAGTGCTTTTGCAGTCATTTGGTCACAACCAACTGGGCTGTGAGAGTCATATAATGGAGATAATATTTACTTGGAAGGAAATGGAAAAAATGTGAACAGAGACTGTATAGGGAATAGAAATGCAATAGCAGTGTGCAGCAAAAATGTTTTATTGAATAACAGGGGAAATGGCAAGATAAAGCAGCTGTGAAGTGGAGAAAAGAGAAAAATGCAAAAAAGGAAATGTGGGGAGAGTGGAAGATGTTCTTGAATGCAAAAAAAAAAAAAAAGAAAAACTAAAACAGAATGCATGCTTGTGGTGGGACTGTAATTTGCTATATTTTACTGGCTGTTTACAAACTGCATTCAGTGGTCCACAATGGGCAATTAAAGGATTTGAGGTGAGAGGGCACGGACGGTTAAAATAATAAACTTTGCTCAGTCTCCATGTGGCTTAAAAGACCATCACTATTTTCTGTGGTGTGTGAGTGAGACAGGGAGTTTGAATTTGTTTAAATACATAACTCTCTTTTTTCTCCTGTTACTACTTTTATCCAAATATGCAAATGAATTTTCAAGTGTGTGTTTTATTGCATTATGCATAAACTTAACTTGGCATATTGTTGTAGTATCATGCAACTTACTATATCTTATTCTTATAAGCCTTTGGTGATATCAGAGTGGAGTGGGCAGAATTAGGGTGCAAGCAGAGGTTTAAAATGATACAACAATAACGGAAGAAACCCCCGACAGACCCCGGCTCTTGGTGGGCGGCCTTCTGCCTCGACCGGTTGGGGTGAGTGGATAGAGGAGAGACAAAAGAAGAAAAGCAACAAGACACAACAATCAAACACTGATCAGGTCGATGTGGCTGGTGACTGCTCGTCAGAGACGTAGAGCTCCAGGGCCAGGGCAACCTGCAGAAAGGTACAGGGAGAGAGAGAGGACACACTACGGGAGAGAGGAGACACAAAGTTAGTGACATGTAATGATGGTATATAGATGCATGGAGAGGGGAGGAGAGAAACTCAGAGCATCATGGGCCCCCCAGCAGCCGAGGCCTATAGCAGCATAACTAAGGGAAGGCTCAGGGTCACCTGATCCAGCCCTAACTATAAGCTTTATCAAAAAGGAATGTCTTAATTCGAATCTTAAAGGTAGAGCGGGTGTCCGCTTCCTGAACTGAGACTGGGAGTTGGTTCCATAGGAGAGGAGCGTGATAGAGCCTTGTCATTAAGGGCTTTGTATGTTAGGAGAAGGATTTTAAATTCTCTTCTGAATTTTACAGGGAGCCAGTGGAGAGAAGCTGATATGGGAGAGATATGATCTCTCTTGCTAGTTCCTGTCAGTACTCTGGCTGCAGCAACATTTTTTTTACAATGACATCTTAAAAAAAATATTTCAAACATTTGCTATCATAACTTGGAATAAAAAAAAGTAAAACAGTTAAAAATAACATACATACACAACAGAATGTTCCTGTATTTTTACAACTGAGATGATTCATTTACAGTAAATGTATTCAGTTCAACATTCCCATGTCACCCCTTGAGCTACATGTAGGCGGTGCTTTTACTGACAATACAGCAGCAACAGCTTTTACATAGGATTCCAAAGCCCTCGAGGCATGTCTAAAGACATTTAATTATGCCTTAAAAATTGGTTTAAAATCACAACTACTCCAATTTGTCCAGTAGCTGTTGAATGTCTTTTTGGCCACGATAAATTCTCTTCAATCCTCTTGGAAAATAACAGCAGGATGAAAGGTTGAGGTAGTTAAGAGTGGTCACTTGGCTGATGACTGTCCTAAGGGCAGGTGGGGTGATCCTTGCCCCACTCAGATTCAGTGAATGTAGGGTGTCTCTTTCATTTGCCTGAGCAAGGTAACTCATTGCTATCCCTAAGTCCTCCTCAGTAAAGAGCTGATTTACAATGTCAAGCTGTTGCAGTGTCTGACTCCGCTTTTGGGTCACCATGTGGATTCCCTTCTTTGGGGATGACAACCCAACATGGCTGCTGAAATACTGTGCTCAAAACAGGCACTCAAGCTCAAGACAAGGTAATGCTGCGAGACCCAACGGAGTTATTCGTGAACAGCCTTGCAGGTCCAGCACCCGCAGCCTTGTGGAGCCAAAAAGAATGTCCCACAAATCTCTGTCTGTCAGGTAGGAATAAGAAGTGGTTGCGATACATAGCTCCTCCAGTAACGGGAAGCCCGACATTGAATCGGCACCAGTTGTGACGAGGTTGGACATTCAGCATCCGGAAGGTCTTGAGTTTAGGGCATGCCATCTGTAGTGCCTGGATGCAAACAGGAAGTTCACAGTCTTTACTGTCAAGGTTTGTGTTGACCTCCAACAACTCAAAATCAGGACACTGTCCTCTGGTTATGGCCATCAGAGGTCTCTCATACTTTAGTCCATGAGTGAACCAGATATGCTTGATCTGGCTCCCATGATTTTCAAGGCACTCCAGGAGACCCTCAGCCTGAAACTCTGAATGCTGGAGATTTATGCTTTGCAGAGACCGGCTGTGCAGACCAACGATGTGGAAGGCCCTTGCTGTTAGGCCTGTGCAGTAAGACAGTGTGAGGGAGCGAAGGTGAGGGCAGAACTGCGACACAACCTCTACTGCGTAGTCAACATTGTTTTTCCAGTGACAGAGAAAGAAGCTTCGCAGCTGGAACAATCTGTTTTCTGCCAGCCAGTTAAAACTCTCCTTTATCTTCTTCTCAGTTTTATGGAGCTGGCTTTTTCCTGGTGCAATCCAACAGTAACCTACAGTGACCTTACGCCACAGAACTGAACTGGAGGCAGCAGCGTTCCACAGACGACAAACTCTCCCCACCCTGCATAAAAATGGTACAGCACCATCTTGGGTGATCAGCACCTCTTCAGGAAGACACTGACCCCATCTGTGGTCTGTTTCTTTCTGCGGCACCACCAGAGTAGTGCCCGCTTCTGTCTTGGCAACTGGATTATTAGCCAGTTTAGGCTTGGCACAGACTGTCTTTTTTTCTCAGTCTGGTTAGCTTTTAACTTTCCTTTAGATAGTTTCTTCTTTTTACTTCCCTTCTTCTGAGCAGTCCAGGCTGGGGTAGGATACTGAGAGGTACTGCTTGATATGACAAGAAGCATATCTTCCCCCTGATGCACAGTGTAGTGAAGCTGGGCAGACTTTATCTTTTTTTAGCTTCTTTGCTTTTGCATTTGTTGGTTCACCAGAGGTCCTCTTTAAAGATGACTTCTTCAGCTTTGGTTCATCTGCTCTGTGACCTGATGTATTTGAAGTGCTTGGTGCACTAAGAAAAAACTAAACTAAGTGTTAAGAAAAAACGTGTACTATATGTAATGCACACAGTAAAACAAAGCCTTACACTAAACAATGAGCTATTTCCTATAAATAATCTTCACACCAGACTGTGCTGCAGCCATGCAGCCAGCAGAGGGAGTGCTGGTCTGCTTAAACAAAATACATCTCTGAGCTTTACCTCAAGATAAAAGCAGCAACTATTAACTTTAGAATGGATGACTCTTTCTCAATTCAAGTTTTATTTCATTTAAGTGGAATATCGTTCAGGTTATGCGATTATTGCCATACCATTCTTGATATGAGGACATCATTTGTTAGGTAATTCATTGCTAATACACCTAAATGTCATCTAATTTCCCAGAGGTCAAAGGGGAGAAAGACTGATCAATTTTTCTCTTGTGAAGAAGAAGAAGCTCAATGTTGCTGCTGCCCTGTGTGGCTCATTACAGCTTTGTTTTCCTATATGTGCTGCCTGAGCTGGTCCCTTTAGGTTTTAATAAGGACGCAGTGAAAGTGCACGTGTTTCTGTTTTGATAGGAGCATAAAAATAGTATAAATCATTTATGGTCACTTTCAGAAGTAGACGCGATAATATGTGTATTTTTGACACATAATAAATTATTGCACTGGGGCAGCCAGGCTGCTGCCAATCAGTAAACTAGAAACAAAGCTCGAAACAGCTTGACTTTCATTTGTGGGACTTCATATTGTGGCCCATTGTCTGCAATATTTAATCTATTTGATGTGGAACTTTTAGTATCCATGCAATAATTTGGATGTTTTTCTGCATTTATTGGGCTGCTGTGGTCTGGATCTTTGTCAGAAGGGACGATCTTGATGCAAAACCTAGCAGAGAGGATGGTGAATGTATGCGGTTAAACGGTGCCTGACTCGCAGGAATCTTCCTGCACAACAGAAAAGCCTCTGACTGGGAAAACCAAAGTAGCACTGAGCGCAGAGACGCACGGCGCGTCATCGCAGCGCCAGTCCCACGAAACCGTGGTAAAAGGGGGTGAAAACTACACATTTAAACCATCAAAGTTAGTGCAACTAGATGCTTCTTCTCTTTGGACTTTGCTCTCTATTCGCTTCTGAAGTGGAACTAACAGCGAATGTGACCACCGACCGACGAATTCCACGAAGTTATCTACATGTAGAAGTGAGGAGTTCGCGAGGACCGGGTGAGAAATCCGAGAGGTGCTGAGTGGATTACATCTTGAGTAACCCGCAACGATTCCTCCAACAGATGTGAACTTTGATTCAAACAGAAATTCACTCCTCGAGGACCAGCTCTGAACATTATTATCTGTAATACAGCCGAGATTAGGAACTATCCTCCTACCAGTTCTCCGGTTCATCGGTTCTGCAGTAGAAGTTTTGATATAGATGAAACAGACAACAAATAACGCATTCTAACTGGATTTACGCCGGTTCCAGCTGCTCTTAAATGATGCCTACCTGTTTGATGGGAATTTGCTATTTACTGGCATTTCTACAGATTTGTTCAGGTATGGGTTGTTTATTGTCAAGACATAGCTTATTTTGTTATGCTTTGTATGCGAGAAGTTTCCAAATATGTGCTGCATGAGTAGAAATGGTGATTTAAATAGCGATGGTGCATTTGTTAAGTTTCATCTGTCCTAGCACACTGCGGGTATCGGACACCGTTTCCATGTGTAACCAGCTGTATCAATATGTGGCCCCTGGCCCGTTCTGCTGGTTGCCAGGTTGTTGAAAGTGACCCATTCATCAACATCCCCTGCCACAGTCCAGTGAAACACAATATCTTTTATTACACGCCAGCGAACACTCATGACCATAATAGGTGTCAGAATGAAAGAACTGAGGCACAGAGCAAAGTTTATGTGAGAGCATGTTTTGTACATTGAATAAGATCACTGGCATGATCAAGTGCATGTGAGGTGTCAAAGAAGGGCATAGGTTATCATCCTCAGCCCTCAGTGGGTGCAGCTGCTGATTATTAAGTAACAGTGAGACTTCACTTGGAAGTCCCTTACCAGTCAGACCGGTGAGGGTGTGTTCTTTTCACTGGAGAGAAATAAGGCTCTGTGCGCTGACAATGTAATTGTTCTGTGTGATTTATTAGTAGACAATTCAATTAACACTCTAAGGTTGAAATAATTCTTGTGCACCCCAGCTGATACTGTATAGCAGGTGAGTCCTGAGGTAAGATGTTTTGAAACCAATGAAGTGATGGCTAAAAATTACAGAAAAAAAACAAGAAACTAAAACAGCAATAGCAACAAAAGAAGCATTCTTAGGACATGTGCCATTTATTTATGCCATAAATGCTGCTGAGACAAACAGACTATTGCCAAACATCATGCTCACTGGATGAAATCTGAGACAGAGACGGAGAAAAAGGCTTTGTGTTACTCATATTGTGTAGTAGGCACTGTGTCGGAGGGCTAAGGTTCATTCCAGGAAGATTAACTCAGACATAACACTGATATAACCCTGTTTCTGCAGGTGGAGGTTGGGCTGCACATCACCAAAGAAGAGTCTTGAACATTTGGACTGCTGACAACATACTTTCTTCTAGATTTTATTGGTTCACACATATTTTTCTTTAGCCTTTATCACAGCTGCTACTAGCCACTATGGCCCAGTCAAGCACCACACCTTCCAGGTGTATCCATACCCCTAATATGATGTACAGTAACACTAGGTATAGTCAAATAGATGCGTAGTTCTGAAAGATCGGTTATCTTCAGCCTAGATCTTTGGATAAAAGTCCACACCACTTTTTGAAAAACACATTTTAAGATAACAGTGGATTCTAGGCTATGACTTTAGCCTGAAATTTTAAACAAATTGAAACATACAAAATTATATTTTGGTCATAATATTCATTAGTGATATTAAAAACTTTCCATGCACTTTTTTGGAGCCACGGGCTACAATAATCAAGAAAAAAAATGAATGAACTGAAAACTGAATTAATGAAAAGTCCTCCCTCAGATTCCTTGCAGGCACCAGTTTTACTTAATCTGCAAGACAAAGACTGCTGTCAGTAACATTAGCAGTGGTCACAGACTGAACAAAGAAGCAGTATGTTTTCAGCATTAGAGCTTCCATAAATGTTTGACACATACATGTCTGATAGCTTTATTTGGTGCTGGACTTCCTTTCCTTGGTTGAAATACTTTTTCACACTTCAAAATATAGGTGTTTTTTCACACCATTATTTTTGGATTTAAAACAAACACAATAGGGTTTATTTATACTTTCCAAACCAAAGATACCACTCAGAGCTGAAGTGGTATGGATGTAGTACAGACTTTTTACCAACTGTTTTCTAATTTTTCAGTGGTAACTCAAAAAAGGAAACACACTAGGCTTTGCCTATCCACATGAATTGGACAAAAATGTGTGTGACACCAGTTTTCCAGTTCATTGCTCCCAAATTTCCAAACTTGGTAACCACACAGTTCAGGGGGTTTCAAGAGTACACAAGGAGGTTTGTGCTTATGCCACAAGTATTGTCCTGTTGTCTGCTTTTTAAACCAGTTCAGTGGATCAGACTGAACAAATGCTCACTGATTGGCCAGACACTGCAGTTTTAACTTATGTGACTTATGAGAGATAATAGATGTACTTGGCCATGACCCTGTTTAAAGCCTTGTTGTGGCTGTGTTTGGGTTGTGCATTTACAGCATAGCTATCCACCATAGATTACAGGGGTTTTTGGACACCATAGCTGGGATAACTGCCAGATGTTCATGCCTGTCCTTGAAAATGTTCCCTGCTTAACACATTGCAGCCAGAATTATTACATGTTTTTCCAAACTACTTGTATTTAATGCATACCCAATCATTCCCTTGCATGGTAACATCAAAGGAACAATGGTCCATCATTAAAACATCAAGTGGTGCTGTTAAGTGACTTCATTGTACTCAGAATTAAGTGAAACCTGGAACTCCCCTTAGCTGAGAGTTTAAGCTCTGCACAATAAATCTGCCACTGCTAGGTGGATGATACATAATAATCTAAATGATGGCCATTAAATGCATATACAGTACTCACTTTGAAATGGCTTTGTCCCTTTTATCCCACAGATCATAATGATGCATCCTCAGAGTGATGCTGTGACTTGGCTCACCAGTCTACCTGCTTTGTTGGATGGTCTGTAAACACTGTTTAATAAGTGGCTCAAGGGGAAAATAAAAAAGGCCCATCCTGTTATTCATTGTTATGATGGTTGTCTCACAGCTGCAGTTTCATAGTACATGATTTTGTTAATATGTTCATAACTGTACTAGCTAGGGTAATAACTAGGATCATTTCTGTAGCAATAACTGACCAAAGTCCTCTGAGGCTTATTTTAATTTTATAGACCATCGTGTTCATGTGTTGTCAGTGGAGAAGTAGTACCTGTACAAGAGGGGCTCAGAGTCAAGCGGAACCTAATTTCACCACTGGTGGGTGCAGCAGTTTGACTCAGACATCTGGCTTTCCTGCTGGAGTTAGCTGCACACAGGTCAGAGTTCACATGCACTTATACTGTTTTGTGACACTTGTGGCTGCAAGAGGGTGACATTTTTTACTCAAACTATTTCCCCACATTTGTTACAGAAATCCACCTTCCCCCAAAAGGTGGCCTGTGTTGTCCCCTAAACTAATGAGACTTTGTGAGGGTGACAGTGAAGAGCGGAATCTCACTACTATGAGGAATTGTTCACTGTGGATGATGGTGCTAATAGGACAGCTTTGTATATGCTGTCGAGGCTTCCTTTGTTTGTTGGGTGAAACTGTCAGATTCCTTTTGTTCTTCTGTAGAAATAATGTGACTAATATGCTGGAGACCAGTTTGCTAGGATGTTTATTTGCTGGAGCTAGGGGTGTGTGACAAAAAAAATGATATCTGGATATTTTCTGGGATTTTGCTGGTAACAGTAAGCAGACAGTATTCTGCATTCTTCAAAAATGTGTTTAAGTCTAATATTGTACAAGGCCGCTCTTGTTAATAGGGTGGTAATTGTTGCTGCTTACCAATGCTATTAATGGAAACAATATACTGTATTTAAGAAAACCAGGTCTTATTTATTTACTTAAAACTGGAGCATTAATGTAAAACAGTGCACAAACATTGAAATTACTTTTGCAGAACGAATCCACTAAAGTTTGCTGAGTGTGTTTGTACCTTGGCTGGCTTAGTCCCGTCATTGACAGCTGACTCCCAAAGCTTTTATATGGTGAGTTCTTTACAGTAGCCAGTTTCCAACTTAGTTTTTTAGTCCATCTTTTCAAAAGCCAGACTACTGTACCTCCATGTGAGTACTGTATATATGTATGTGTGTATATATATATATACAGTATATATATCCTCACACATGTCTCTCCTAGTGGAGAGACATGTGGTATGGGAATGAGGAATGAAGAAATGTATTCACAGTGCAGCACTTTTCTGTTTCATTCTTACAGACTTTGAATCTGGTAGCATGCTAAGTTGTCTCGCTCTTCACTGCTGGACGTGACTCTGGCACAGCTTTCAGCCTTAGGTGGGATTAAAGTTTAAACTATTTATGTCTTTCTCATCCATGCATGGGATTTATCAAAGCTGATTTGAGGGTTATGTCTGCATCTACAGGATTTACGCAATCAGATGAAAATGTGAAACCTTAAATTATGTGCTTATCTATCATACAGGACACACATGCAGCAGTTCATGTAGAAATGAGGCCTGACAAATGAACATTGTTTGACACGTCTTTTGAGATCACTATTACTTCAAATATGCCTATAAGAAATTTGTCCACTAGAAAATGTTGAGCTAGAATAACTGCAACTGATCTTTCTTGTCTCTCAAACCCCAACAGATGTTGCTGGAATAGTTTTCTTCTGACTCAGTTTGCATAAATGCATATGTAATGGTGTTATTGTAAGCTTGTTTTTGATGTGTGTGTTTGGATTGTTTCCTGAAAGCTATGATTCATAATTGCCTCCTTTGTTTACCCACTGTTTTGCTGTGGCGGTGTGAGGCTGAGTGTGGTTACCAACTCTACTGAAAAGAAGCTACAGAAAGCTTTAACAGGTGTCTGTAGGTCTGAAGTTCACAGGCCAACATGTTTTCACAGAGGTACACAGATACTGTGCTTACACAGTCCCTCACACACATATACATGACTTCTAATTCTGAGGACGATCTATTACTACCTGCCTGCCTTACAAGCAGCTTCCTTGCCTGTAGGATCCTAGGATCCTCCTACACTCGTACTACTTGCTTCAACCTTTCATACTCAACCTAAAAAAATGGTATATACACTTTAATCAGTCGGTATTTCCAATCCTCAAGGTTGACAATCTTATACTAAAGCACAGTAATGTCTTGATTGAGTGCAACAGCAAGTCAAGCATGTACTGTAACAGATTAAAAGCATAAAAGCATAAAATATTAAATATGAAGTCTCATGGTCACTGCCACCTCAGTAATGTATTAAACCAAGCAGATTCAATTTGTTCTAACCAAATACTTCTGTCATTTAC